GCCAAGAGGTTATTCGAGAGGGGTGGGAGATTTTAATTAAAAATCTATTTGTACTGTATAGACAATTGTAGAACGTAAGAATTATGTAAAATCATGGCCCAACTCCCACTCCTCCCCCCATCGTATCGGTTGCTGCGTCCCGTGCGTTCCACTCGAAAGAAATAGTAGAGGTACACGCATACATTTTTGCAAAATTATCCGAGGAACTCCATCCCCTTGCCCAATTCGATCACTGGTTAACCTCCAATATAAACGAGTCAATTCAACGCTACACACAGCATACAGATATTAGTGGTACACCTATGATTTATTTTCTAGGAGAGAGAGAGAGGGGGGGGGGGACCATGAATTCCAAACAAGTTTCTGGACGCATTTAAAATTACAAGTGACATTTCAAACGTCGGTGATATATTGCAATACGAATTATGCAGTTTCATACCCGTAGAGGTATATTTATGCAGTATTTTACTTACTTTTTCCGGGGCATTAAATGCAGACATAACGTAGCCGATTGTTTTTTACGCACATCCCCTTTGCGTCTTTTACGTAGAATCCGTAAGAAAGATCTTAAATTTTAAGAGAAGATTGTTATACGACCCCCCTTTCGTTACACCACTAGCCATATATGTATGACATACATTGTATGTGTATACATTTTTTTTTTTTTTGTTGAAAACGACGCGTCAGTGTAATAATATTTACGGCGTGACCCGAACGAGTATAAGTAATTCAAGAACGTAAACGCGAGAGTTCACGTGAGAACGTTATAATTTAAAAAAAATCTCCTGTGTTTGGGAAAGAAATAAAAATTAATTATTACGATCCGACGATAAACGGGTACGCGTTTAAACGCGCGAATTAAATAAATAATTATTCCCTTTATGCTGTGTACTCGTACGGATGCTACGCGTTTAATTTAAATTAAATTTGTGTAATTACTATTGGCGGGCCGCGAAAAGTACACGAACGCACGCTACAACGCGACGGTTGTTTTTTCACATTTTTAATTTTTGCTGTATTTTTTTTTGTCGTTCATAACTGTTTTAAGTAGGTATAATGCGTGCAGGTAATTATTTTAACTCCGTATGGTTTGGTTTTTGTGAAAAACAGTAGTTGTTTTTTTTTCACATGCTATACGAATGCCGGAACAGCCACGGTCGCAGGTACTTACAATATTGTAATACGTTACGATAAACGAAGATAAATTGAAAATAACGATATAATTATATCCGGGCGAATAGCGTAAATCTCATTTTGTTTTTCATTGTTTTTAAATCGTTTGTTTTTTTTTTTCGTCCGATTTGTACGCGTTAATAACCGGAAATTCGCGTAGATACCAACACGATGACATTGATATTATACCTGGGTACTATGCCGTATATCGATTATTGCTCCGAACGTTCGACAACGATAATCTATCGATTCGTCGATAGTTGTGTCATTCGCTGTTCTCGTATTGATTAGCAGTCACCGGTCCTCGAAATTCAGTAGCGCATTTGAGGGAGGTGGAGGGGGGGGGGTGGCGATGGGTGGATCGTCCCCTCCTTTGGAATTTTTCGGCTGTGATTTTTCAATCGCGACTTTATGTCGACGCATTTTGGCAACAAAATAATACAGTGCTTATGACCGTGTTGTTTATTATTTCTCGGATAGTTTTATCAGCGTTACCAAAAAGTAGCGGTATAATGATATCGGCGACTAGGGCGATTTTTGTCTACAATACATATATAACAGATGTATCGACGTGGACGTCCAAACAGTAGTCGTCATAGATCTGCTTGCAGGAGAAAAACAGATTGATATTGCTATAAAATTGTGTTGTGAACACTTTTGTGTACAATATTGTTCGACATGAATACATGTATAATGTATGCATATTATTTATATTATATTACGGCCGTTACGGGTAAACGCCGAAATTGCGCGAATCTCAGAAGTGTCTGGGCAAAACTGTAACGTCCAAAAATTTAAATTTTTCAGACTTTCTGAGATTTGCCCTATTTCGGCTTTTGACCGTATCGTACATATTGTATTAAATCATTTTTTTTTTTTTTTTTTCTATAACTTACTATAGTTTTTACTTATAAACTATTTTTTTTTAATTTCCAAGAGAGGAATTATAAAAAAAAAAATGATAATTGTTGTTGATTTTCTTTTTTAGGACGAGAAAACCCTTCGTGAAAAATTGTAGTGTATTACAATTTTTAAACCGTCCCCTCTTTCATTGAGCTTTCATTGATTTGCAGCATCGTCACTCCGTCCGTTTTCCTATTCGGCAGTGTGATGAACACGAATCCGAATTTTTAAATTCGTGGGCGCCCACGGGACATTTACTAGGGAACAGGAGCGCAACGAAATACAAATCTACAAGGTATCAAAAAGTACTTGAAATAAAATTATATTTGAAACTTTTAAGTGCAAATGCCCCGTGTTGACTCCCTTCCGGGCGCTTATGTTTTGTACATTACGCTATTATATACGCGCTATATCATTCGGATTCCACATGCGACATTCGGAAAACAATAATATTATAGAAATAACGTGATATTTGCGATTAGAGCTTATTTTTTTACATACGTCGTCGATGACACGTTCGTTTTAATCCGAAGATCGATTTAGGCGAACGGACTAGACGGTTGTACGTGCAAATAACATAGTTTAATGAAAAAATGCAATTCACACTCGAGACGCAAAGCAAATCATTTTTATAATATAAGCGTGTTATTTAGTGTTCGGAATTAAAAAAAAAAATAGAAATCAAATTTAATTTTTGGGAACATGTTAGAACGATTTCAATTTATAGCTGACCCAGTAATTTTTTTGGTAATTTAATGTACCTACGTGGCGAGAAACAATATTTCCTATGTTCTTTCGGAGATTTTTTTTTTTTCCAACAGTATAAAAAATGATTATAAGTACATTAGGTCAATTGGTGGTGTTTAGCGTCGATTTAAAAATCATTGGTATAATATATTGTGAAAAAAAAAAACTCTCTGCAAGAGAGCAACTGTTCGTGGTTAAAAAAAAAAAAAAAAGAGATGAAAACGAAAAGCGAATTCGTTTTTAGATTCTGAGCGGAATGAGGAATGTACTGGTTTTCCAATTCAAAATTTGTCAATTACACCGGCAAACGACGGCGACAACAGTGTGCCGATAGCGTAATAACGACGCATTGCAGTCGCCGGTTTTTCGTTTTTTTTTTTTTTTTTTTTTTTTCTCCTCCCGGGCGTAAATCTACGTGGATCGCCGGCAATACGCGCGCGCGGTCATTACCGCGTACATTTTTCGTAAAAGAAATAACAGAAAAAAAAAAAACAACAGCAACAACAAACAACGATCCGCGAGAAACGTCATCGTGGCCCTTTTTGGACGACGGCGCGACGAACGGATCGGACGGGTTCGGACGAATCGGCCGTCTGCCGCCGGGACGCTTGTTTGTGCGTTCCCTCCCTCCCTCCCCCCCCACCCCTCACACGGCGTTTCACTACCCGGTGTTATTTGGATTTTTTTTTTTCCATCCTAACCGTAATTAAACGTTATTTGTTCGCGCTACAGGTATAATACAATAAATAATAATAACACGCTCGTGTGTCACACACGCACGACAAATGGGTCATGTCCTTCGGTCCGGCGTATTATTATTATTGTCGGTGTACCCGCGACGCCACGGATTACATAATGAAACGTCGAGTTTTAACCCCTTTTTACGTTGCCGGCCGCAAGGTCACGCCGCCTCGCCGGCCGTCTCGTTTGAAACGTTTTTTTTTTTTTTTCTCTTCCCCCCCCCCCCCTTCCCCTCCCTATACCGTACTGTGCGCTCTCGTTATTATAATGCTATCGCCGCGCGTACGGTGGAACAAAAAAAAAAAAACCCGGAGACCGAGAGAGAAAAAAGGGACGGAATCAATGAGCGTCTCAAGGATAATAAACCGTACGTATACGTACGTGTAATGTTTTCGTTTATTTTTTTTTCTCCTCTCTGCCGTCTCTGTCTCGCCGTCGGGTATTTGTGATCGTCGACTGACCTTCGGCGCGGCGAGGGAAGAAAAAAACGAAAAAAAAAAAAATTAAATCCGTGCTCCGACCGCCAGCCATTGCGGGCGCGTCAGCTGCCGCTCGACCGGCGGCCCGCAGTTTAATTACCCGCGACCGCGGTCGTATTTCCGCCCCTTTCCACCCTCCGCCCCACCGCCCGAAAGGCCGAAAACACGTGACGTTTCCCCAATCACGGACAACACTTGCGCGTCGGATTTCGATTATTTCGAATCGGATGTATCCCGAAAAAAACCGCGACGATGACCAGGCCGTCCCCCTGTTATAATAACATTTTTTTTTCCGTCCGTTAAATTATATTATGGCCGGCCGGTTCATGTAGCTAGGCGTAATCTCTCGAAACAGATTTTTATCGCGTTTTACATATCGTTTTTTGGTTATTATAAGATATTATAAGATATATTCAGGTGCAGTACTCGCTGCGACTCGTGTCGACGAGTATACTTATAAAAAATGTAAAAAAAAAAAAAAAATGACCGATATTATTATTACTATAAAACGCATCGCCTATAATAATAATAGGTTTTTTTACACCCCGCGTCCCGGTTGTATACGAAAAACGTAAAACGGTTCGTATATATATATACGTACGTACTATTATTACGTGTTTTCCGATCAATTATGTCGGTATATAGACTGTGTGTATTTTTTTTTTTTTTTAAGAGTTCAAAAAAAATACTAAGCCGCCTATTCCGGCGGGCTCTAACGTCTGTTAAACGGCAAGGCGTTTATTACAGATTTCACGTGCAGTAATAATTTTCGACGGTATAAAGTGTAACAAAACAAAAAAAAAAAAAAAAAAAAAAATATTTTTAAAAAAAAAAAAAAAAAAAAAACCGTCTTTTATAAATACAGGTATGTACCTTCATCGTTTATTTTATAGGATAAATCGGTTACATTTATATCGGATTCGTCGGGCGAGTGAAATTTTAACGCCTATTTGGAATGAAAAACATTATGACCAAAATGAATACGCTAATCGAGTATTTAGTCATTCGAAACCATCATGAAGTTCTCCCCCGCCCCACTTTGTCCGCTCGACTTCAGAATACGTATTGAATGCGTATCAGGGCAGCGTATCAACAGTCGCTGTGTTCTCGAAACGAGCCACAGACTCGAATGGGGGGGTCCTTCCTGACCGGCTCTTTGATTGCTCGTCGCTAGTTAATATTATCGTTAAAACGATTTCAAACGATTACAATAATAAACACGTTACTTTAAATGATTTTCGTTTGTTAATCCGGACCTGGCACTTCTGCGAGGAAGTTATCTATACACTGTCCTAAGAGTGTACAACCTGAAATCTACTCCCAAGTCGGCGATAAACCTCTATTTTAGTCTATAGTCAAATATAATACCCGTATGACAACAGCGGTTTCCGTTTATCTTATCGGAAACGTCAAATGCAAGTAAATTGTTGTTATAGCGATTCGTGTCGTAAGTATTAATATTTAGGGTACTACATTTTATAAGATTAAAAAAAAAAAAATTAATTTACATAAGTCGAAAAAATTAGCGCACTACTTTAAACAAGAAAAAAAGTCGAACTTGTAGCGCTCTACTTATTTCTGTAATCGACATTGGCGCGAACAAACCGAACAAATATCGATAATGCAATTATAACTGTTAATGAATATTAAACATTCGATTATGTTTGTACGCGATTAAACGCACTGTTACAGTGACCAAGCGATTTCGTCGCGGTACACTTCCCTTAATAATTTCCATAAGATCAGCGATATTGAAATGTATGTGGAAATGGAAACCGAGGAAGTAAAGTCGCCATAGGTATTTAATGGAATTCCGTGGAATGAAACTTGCATTTCAAAAGGAACAAAAATGAAAAAAAACAATAGTACCTATGTGTGATATGAAGTGAGCAATGTATAACAATATAATTAAGGGCGTTACGACTCACGATACCGGTTCCATTAGCATAACACACAATTTGAAATAAATTTAAAAAATACCGTATACTGCTGATGGGCGTGTGCCACGATTGTGGGTGCGAAGTCGGGTAGGTCTGTTGTATAAAGTTATTTAATTTATGTCTGCGCGTGACAGTAAATAGTTCCTGACAAAATACGATTCTGAGTGAAGCTCTACTATTGATACTTATGTATAATCGTGTGTCGTGATTTGTACGAAACTTAAAACGCTTATAAAAAAAAAAAAAAACTACTAGGTACATTAAGATACATTTGCTTTAACCATTAGGTGACCGGCTTATAAAAAACTTCGGGTTAAATTTTCAAGCATTTCTGTTTGGCTAAACCAAATAAACACGTTGAAAAACTCGAAAATATCAAATGCCTATAAATAGCTCGAAAACCGTTTGACGTCTAGAAACGGCTAATATCGATAATGTCAGGTCTCTACGACACGAAAACGACGTATTTTTATTTTTTGATTCGAGCGTGATTTCCGGTAAAGAAACGGTTTACAGATGAAAAAAAGGGAAAAAAACACGTCGCGGTAAAATCAATATATTCCTCGCTTTGTTCAGAATCAAAAATATTATTGACGAGCGCGACGGTATATACGTACGTAGTAATAAAATAAAATTATAAAATTTAAAGAAAAAACCGTGATAAACGGCGGTGCGTTTGTGAAAACCGCGAAATCAAAATCACTGCGGAATATAATACGGAGTGCACAATACCATACACGTGTGCATACGAGCAAATAACCTGTTCAAATATATAGTTAAGTAAATATTCCGTCGCGTTTTAACAATCAATGGCCGTCGTAGAGTAACGTTTTATTATTTTTTGTCGCGATAATATTGATGGTATGCGAAATCATGGATGCGAACTCGATTGGTATACACTATAGCACTGTTAAAAATATTATAATATTACGGTTTTTTTTTTTTTTTATATATATACGATGCGAATAAACACCGAAGCACGTGTCACGGCGTCGAGAGGTTTCGAAACGGGAACAATCGCGACAAAAATATACTACTCGTATATCGATTCCGCGGCACGCATCATTAATAGTCTGCATTCGGTTTTGCAGAAGAAATAATTTGCGAATCTGACTACGAGTGTTATAAGCGAAATATGCAGTTCAATCACCAAACACTGGACACTGTCGCCATCCCGCATACCCGTAGAACATTTATATGACGGATCAAATTATATTGTCGCCCGTACTCTTTGAATGGTGATAACTTTGGGTGTATATAATATTATTCGCTTAATCACTAACCCACAGCTCTCGAGGGTGGAGGGGGATTATTGACATTAAAATCCCCTCCCCCCCCCGTAAATATGTCACTAAATTAAGAGACTGCATTTTTCAACAAAGTCGATTCTTTTCTTTTTATAGAAGATTGCGGTTTCATTGTATTGCGACGTGCTGTACGACATTTGTAGCCGGTAAAAAAATTTTCGTGACTGCGACTTTCCGTCGGACGAAAGCAAACACGTGTACAGGATTATTCAAAAAGATTCATCCGATTTCAAACGGTCACCTGGTAAGTATTTGTTGTAAACTTTAGCCCGACAGAGGGAAATCTAAAATTTAAAATGTCGTTAATTCATTTAATTGACATAATCGTTTTTGGCTACAAGTTGGTCTCTAAACTACACAGATAGGTGTGTGGCCGACAGGAAAACACAAAAAGTTTAGCGCGTTGCGATTTTCAAAATATGAATCGGTAAAAAGAATAGCTCTGTACCTCTTAATAAATAATCTTAGAAACCTGTAATTTGCACAGAATATTAATATTATCTTTTTGTAGACGCGGTTAAATTTTTAAACTGTTCGGAGATATTCGAAAATGGTTTATCAATTTTTTAAATTTCTAAAATCGCCCTACCGGTGTTGTTATACCGAAAAATGTATTTGCCGTGTTTCCTGTGTGTTCGTATAATATTTTACTAAACCCGATGGCGCGGATACCTGTAATATATCTATAATACCTATAGCACCTATCATTCCTTTGCCTCGATATTATACAATATCGTGCCGCGATCGCGATAGATGTGGTCCCGTACGTGGCCTTAAAACACACGGAAATAAGTGCCTTACACCTCTATCTATAAGGTTCAAATAATAACAATGTAAACGTTTATAAGCCGATAAGAATGGTTAATATAGTGACACGCAACACGTACCTGTATTGTGTCAGTGTTGTCGTCGTAATTCTCTCTTTAAGCCTTTGTACAAACGTTGTAAAACGAATTCCGCAGAGGACCGTAAAGAGGATAATAATATACAACGTCGGGATAAAAAAAAAAAAAAACGCATTTTACAAGCGTTCAAATAAAATGTTTGTTAAGATTTTTATAGTACCCCGTACACACGTGTACCTACCTATACAACACTGGTATATTTTCGGTAACGTATTTGTTTATTTATTGATTTTTTTTTTTTTTACACCTAAAATCGTGTATACTAATAGATTCGGTCGGGTACGCGCACCGTTCGTTATTCAGACGGTAAGCACGCAAACGCTATAATATTACAACAAGCATATTGTATAGGTACCGTTATCTAAAACCAAATTGTGTAACTCCGTTTCATCGCGTTCGCAAATCGTTTATCCTCCGACGATATTATTTGTTCGACCGTCCGCGATATCAGAACCATAGAATTTTATCGACAGTAATATCATAAATTGCGCGTCTTCGAGTCTCTCCGCTTTGTTCGACGTGATATCGCGCGGCAACGATAACGTATTCCACAATGTTGTTATAATATCGTGGTCGAGGAAATAGAGAACTGTTGCTGCACTGTACCTGCGTCTGTCGTGAACGCGCATTTTTTCCGGTATTTTCGGACGCTTCGGGCTGTTCCCCCGGACTAAACGAGCTCGAAATCGATAATTAGAGCGGTTTTAAAGGCGGACTGAAGTTGTTAAATTACCGTTGAATTCCACCGTGACATCGCGGGAGAAGGGTGTTTTGTCAACTCCGTGTACACACAAACATGTAATGCATCCCTCAAATTAAGCCCGCGAGACACGACGTTTTGTGCACGCGTGGCGTGCGTATCGAGGTTGTGCCTTTTAAGCGTTTCAACCGCAAAGTCCGCTCCCTAAACATATTTTGTTCGAATTTCACGTTTTCACGGAAAATACAGGGTTTTAAATACTCCCCACAGACGCGTAATATAAAGGAATGAAATATTTTATCGGTAACGAGTCGGCCGGAGGATAATTTGACTCTTGATGATTGTCATTTTTTTTTTCTTATATATCCGGCATATAAAATAACTCTAGTGGTTTAGAACCCAACCAAGAATACAATATAACGCATTCGGCGGCATGATCTTTATGGTCGAAAAAAATTGTTTATCTGCGATCCGTCCATAAAATTTCACGAATTCCGGCGTTTCGCGCGTCGGTCGATAATTCGCACGTTTCGTCTGAACCGCGGCGGGTCGGGACACGCGCGGAGATGCCGAAACTCACGGGGCAACGCGATCATTTCCCGCCCTTCCTTGCCCCCCTCAAACGCCGTAGTGGAGCGGTTGGTTTCGGTTCTCGTGGTCTTTTTACTATACTCACACTGTCCCTTCCCCCTCCCCGCTCCGAAATCGAGTTCTGCAAGTGTGCGGGCAGCGTTAGACGGCACCGAGATCGGTCGGTAAAAGACACCCGAGCGAAGCGAGAAGACGCGCGTATTGCACGCGGTGATATCCGGGAACGACGTTCCCGGAGCGGGAGGACGGCGGATGTCGGCGGACGTTTTCGGCCGCGCGACGTGGCGGTGTTGCGGGGCCGGAACGGACTCCGAAACCCGACCGATAATACGGCGCGCGCGCGCGCGGCCGTTTCCGACGGCGGCGTGGTCGGCGCACGGGCACGGACGCTCCGCCGCGCGCTAACGCCCGTTCGCACACGGGTTTTGACGACCGGCCGGCGTTCGTGATATTGCAACGCGGCCGAACGGCGCCGCGTAGACGCGACGAAACGCGGCGTTTAAAGTCCGGCGGCCGGAAACGCGCGCACAGCCGAGACGACCGCGGCAACGGAAAAACGCGGTGCGCGACAATGGTGCGCGGCCGAGCGACGGGTCCCCGCCGTGCGCCGTGCAGTCCCGTCGTTTCGCCGCACGCGGTTTCCCGGACGCCCCCGGCAAAGAAAAAATAAATAAACGCGAATATGCGCGCGCGCGCTCGTCGAACCGGCCGACACTAACGACGATAACGATTAATTATTATCGCCGGTATATTGTCGTGCGGCGGCGGCGGCGGCGGCCGGCCGGCCCGGCGGGGGCGGTCCGCGACGCGCGCCGGAATCGATAAAACGCGGTATAAAACTACGATAATTTACGAGCGGGTTGGCCGGTACGCGGCGGTTTTTCGGGTACCGACGTTATTTATCGTAACGACGCGCGCGGCGTTTTCGAAATCCAACGCGCGTTTCCCGTTCACGACGTCCGCGTTCGCGCATAATGTCCGTCGTGTTATTATTATTATTATACGGGCCCTAAAAACCGATCCGAACGCGTCGTGCGCTGCCGGTAACCCGAGTCGGGCGCACGACATTACGGATTGCGCGGCTCGCGTACAAACGTAAACTACAACCATATTGTTGTCGCGGTGACCGTCCCCGGGTGCTGCGGCAGTATAA